AATTGTCAGTGAACTCCTGCTCTGTGTAGTGAATGCCGCTCAATCTGAAAGCAGGTGATGGAGATTTACTACTAATCACGGGGCCGGCTTTACTGACGAGATGCGCATGACAATCGCATGCGATTAATTGCACAGCCCTAGAAGCCATCTCGCTGAGGTTCAGTTATACACGTCCACAGCTACACAACGGCCTCTTCGTTCTTCTCACCAGTTAAAGCCTTTTGGAAAGCTTTGTGGTGTTTCCTACTTCACTCATTCCTGTCTGCAGCTCAGGTTTCACTCTGGTGACAGTGATGAGATGTTTATATGCTAAAAAGAGAGAGAATGAATGAGGAGGTGTGTATGGTTAAACAGACCATGTCTCCATTAGTCTGCATGCCAGACTAGACAGATTCCGTCTTCTAGCCTTGGACGATATGGGCGGGTCATGTAAAAGAGGTAGATGGGCTACTGTTTAGATGGGAATTTGCATTAGACTTCTGAAAAGGGCTCAGGTGTTTGTGCATCACTTGCGTTCAGGTATTCAAATGCAGTTTCGATCTCACGCTTTTGTTTTTCTGTTTGAGGTTTTAGAGATTTGTTTGTAGATCTGACCACCAAGGCAGCCTCTATATCCCATTCATAATTGATGCCATAATCATTTTAATATGTTATAAATGAAAATGAATTAAAATTCTGTAATTGTCTCACCCTCATGTCATTTTAAACATATATGACAATCCTCTGTGCAACATAATAGAAGATATTTTGAAGAATGCTGGTAGCCAAACAGTTTTAACTTCCTTGACATCTCAAAATATCAATCATAAGAAAGAAAGTCATATGTGTTTGGAATGATATGTGGGTGAGTAAATTATTACAGAATTCATTTTTGGACTCCCCCCACCCACAATCCCAACCTTTGGGTTACGAGTCCGACTCTCTAACCATTAGGCCACGAATGATTGGGCTACTATACTGCCATACATTTATGATGCACATAAAATGAAAGACAAGTGTGGTAACTAATTTAAAGGACTAAAAAGTAGGTTTATAAATTGTAAAATTTTAAGTTCTGAATGAATGATTTGAATGCCAAAAAGGATTGTTGTGACTATGTTGCTGCTCACCTGTTTGCTTACTATAGTTTCATGATGCATGATGAGCACAGAATGTTTATCTGAAATATTTTCCTAGAGGTCTTTAAACAACAGTGAAGAGAATGCTAAAATTGCTCATTACATTTGGATTTTGTTGTGAGTCAGTCATAGTTTGGAAAATACCTACCAGAAAAAATAAGGTTGGTTTCTTCCTGATGCAATCACAAGCATGTGAGAATACACACTAGCTCACAATGTTTGAGAGCAATAATTTTTATTAAGTACACATTGCTACATGTCATGAATAACGGCTACCAACTATAGGTGAAACTATGTAAATAACTCTACGAGTTTAAAGGGGTCATATGATGCTTCTTTAAAGATCATTATTTTGTGTATTTTGTGTAACAGAATATGTTGACATGCTTTAATGTTCAAAAAACACATTATTTTTCAAATACTGTACATTATTGTAGGTCCTCTATGCCCCGCCTCTCTCAAACGCTTAGTTTTCTACAAAGTCCCTCCTTCCGACAAGCGCAGTCTGCTCTGATTGGCCAACTGACCCAGTGCATTGTGATTGGCCCGAACACCGCAAGCACTCGTCGGAAATGTAACACCCCTTACCATAATCGCGAGCGTCAGCTCTCAAAGTAAATATCAAGATATTAATAATGTCGTTAGTTTTACCATCAGTTCAAGCCCGAAAGAGGAACAGAGTCGCGTGACAGACACAGTGACGTAGATATGTGGGGTGTGTTAGAACGAGCCGTTTTAGGGGGGCGTGGCAGAGTCTTAACTTTGATAAAGAATATCTCTTTGGTTTTGAGACTTTAGTCTTTGCAACTTTACAGATCTTCTTTATGCACAATCAGCTTGTAACACTCCAAAGAGAAAGGAAAACTTGAAATCGCATCATATGACCCCTTTAATGCAAGATTTTTCTACTTAGCAACAAATGTTTGCTATCAATGACTGGCATACATTTTTAATATAGAATAATGCAATTAAAAATATGTATTATTATACTACTGTTAAAAAAATTGGGGGTCAGTAAATTTTTTTAAGAAGTTAATTCCTTTATTCAGCAACAAACTCTTTAAATCGATCAAAAGTGAAGACATTTATAATGTTAAAAAAGGTTTCTATTCCTGTTCTTTTGAACTTTCCTTTAAAGGGGTCATATGATGCGATTTCATTTTTTCCTTTCTCAGAAACAATAATGTACAGTATGTGGAAAATAATGTGTTTTTTTTACTTTAAACCGCATAAACACATTTCATTACACCAAATACACAAAATAATGTTCTTTTTAGCAGCATCATATGACCCCTTTAATCAAAGAATCATTCATTTTATTTTCTGCAATGCTAAAAAATTATTAAAATAGAAAACAATTATGAAATTTAAACAATATTTCACAATATTACAGTTTTTACTGTATTTTTGATCAAATAAATGCAGTCTTGGTAAACATAAGAGACTTCTTTTAAAAAAACATAAAAAAAAAAACACATACCAACCCCAAACTTTTGAATACTGGTTTATATAATGTGAGCAATTACGTCGAATGAAAGACAAAAAATATATATATTTTGAACACACAGTGCCATTTGTTGTCAAATTCAACATTACTTTTTGCGCTGAGACAAAACTCCTGGGACAATGAGTGTCTCAAGTACACAACAGTGATGGAAGCGACAAAATTTCCCCTACTAATGAACATATCAGTAGACCTTTCAAAATACATACTTTGATTTGCACATTTCTTCAATTAATATACCATGAAAACATTTTGAACATGTTTAATGCATTTATATTTTGGGGCAATGCACATTCCAATACCCATTTTTTTGTAACATCATTAATTTGAAGAAATTATTTTTATCTTAATTTCTAACTGTTGTGTAAATCAGTTCCTCTTCAGTTTACTATCATTTGTTTAATCAATCCTTCTTTTTATACATAAGCTTTGCTGCTGTCCACAGACCTGGCTTTTGAATACATCACATTATGGTGATCATCCTCACGCGGTGGGCACGAGCTGCAAAGGAGTCCTCCACCCAGGAAAAGCAAACCTGCAGAAGCCCAGCCAATGTAAAGCGATTCCCCGAGTTCCCTCCTCTGGCTGTCCACCAACAAAGGGTTGTAGAAGTCCCTGATTATGGTATTCGCAGTCCAGCAGACAGGGATGAGGACAAGAAGTCCAGCGATGATGAAGATGACGCCGCTGGCGATAGCAACCTTCGCTTTAGACACCTCATCATCCACAAAGTTGGTGCACTTTCCTCCTACGATGCTCAGGATGATTCCAAACACCCCAGCGATGATGGCGATGATCACCAAGGCTCTGGCGCCCTGCAGATCTTGAGGAAGAGCCAGCAGAGAGTCATAGACTTTACACTGCATCTGTCCTGTGCTCTGAACCACACAGTTCATCCATAAACCTTCCCAAAAGTTCTGTGCGGTCACAATGTTCGGTCCAATGAACGCCGTCACCTTCCAGTTGGGCAAGCCACAGACGATGATGCTTCCCAAGAAGCCGAGCGTAGCCAGGCAGATGCCCAAGATTTGACGTCCCGTAGACACCATGTTTCTTAACTTATTGCCTTGAAGGAATGAATTCAGGAAGACGTTGCTGTTATCCCTAGTGGCGTTACCAATGACTCTGTATTGTCATATGTAGCACTCACTTATAAGTATGGCTGTCTACAAAAAATGGGGTAGGGAAACCAGTTTTAAGGTCTAACCAGCTAGACTTGTTTCCTCCTACTACTGGTCATGGCGAATGTTAAGCCAAAGCTGCCAAACTAGTTTTGTTCAAATGGACCCGCATTGGAAGCTGGACATGTTTTGATTTAAAACATTTTTTCAAAGTCTAATCAAGCCTGTGTTATGTAAAAAGAAAATCTTTTTAATATATGAATTTGAATGTCTATCATCTCTTTGAGTGTAAATTATAGTAATGAAGTTGACTACAAAAATAAAAACTACTACAACTTATCAGAAAAACATCTCCTTTAAGGCTGGAATACACTACTTGATTTTTTAAAGCACTAGGTGTCAAATACTTACCGACTTTGTAAATGATTATAGAGGAAAAACTGGGCATCATATACCAAATGACTGAGGATCACACACTACCAGACTTTCAGGTCATTCCGAACACAACAATCTCACACAGGGGTATGAGCCTTGTTGCTAATAGACACATGCAAATAGAAATAATTTTGACTCAAAATATCAAATGCGGTTGATATCCTCTGACTGGACAGAGTCATAATCTGTGCCCATCATATACTACGTGGTTTTCTGTAAAACCGGACAACTGTGTAGGCATCCTTTAACATATGACATAAAATATGAAGTCTCATTTGTAGTTTGCAAAAAGAATGCTGTTTCTGCATATTCACCTTCCTGTAGAATTTACTTTAAAGGGATAGTTCACCCAAAAATGAAAATTACCCCATGATTTACTCACCCTCAAGCCATCCTGGTGTATATGACATTCTTCTTTCAGACGAATACAATCAGAGTCATATTAAATAATGTCCTGGCTAATCCATGCTTTATAATGGGAGTGGATGGTAGCCCAAAATATGTAGTCCAAAAAATTGCACCCATCCATTATAAAAGAAGTCCGCACGGCTCCGGAGGGTTAATAAAGGCCTTCTGAAGCGACGCGATGCGTTTGTGTAAGAAAAATATCCATATTTACAACTTAATAAATCTTAATCTCTAGCTTCTGCTAACTCTCGTACGCACATTAACGAGAGAGTGGCGTCCAGCGGATGATAGTAGTACAAAACGAGGATTTGTAAAGAAAAATGTCTGAGGATTTCGATATAAGCCAAGAGGACACTGGTTTTCCTTTGCTGTAAACAAAACTTGTTTCTCGCGAGACTAGCATATTCTCACCGGAGCTTATGCTACGTCTACGTCCTACGTCATCTGGTGGACACCATTCTCTCGTGAACGAGCACTACAGTTAGCGGAAGCTAGAGATTAAGGTTTTAGGCTTCAATTTTGGGCTACCATCCACTCCCATTATAAAGCATGAATTTGTAACCCATGTTAAATGTGGTGCCTACAAAATAAATAATAGTAATATAATTGTATATTGCAATTATACTTCCAAATAAAAAACTGAAGTGATCTATTAATATACATAGCGATTTAATTATGTATAGATAAAAAAATAATCAGTATTATAATTGAGCGTAGAAAAATGTGACGTAGTACACATATGCGAGTTGCTCACGGTGACTCACGGAAGTGTGAGAGATGTGATTAGCACGAGAACACGAGAGCGATGCAAAAGGATTAAAAAGGTTTATATGGTTTAAAATTCATTTAAATAAGGTTAAAAACAAACTTATAATACTTGATGGTTGATGATGATGAATCATTTTAGAGTGATGATTGCCGATTTGAGCGCCGATGTTAGCTGATTGTGAAGCTCCCCTGAATCTGAAGCAGGTGTTTAACGAACTGTTAAAAACGGGATTTGGTGAGTTATATGTATTTTATTTTCTTTGAAAGATGTATTTTAGGTTGCTATGCCTATCGTTGTGTACACTTCAAAGATCGTTTGCATATTTTCTAAATGTTAATATGAATTATTGTAAAATGTTGAATTATGTATTCTGTTTAGTTATGAATATTAATTTGCACATCCTCAATATTCTGTTAAGAAGACACTCGTTCCTCATGAAAGTTGAGATGGATGTTTAAACAGTTTAAAGAGCAAGAAAAGTTTAAAAGAAATTGCATTTTATGTTAATGATGCTGTTTTGGTAAAACAGGTCAGGTTTATTGCTTGAGTGAAAATCCCCCCTTGTGGATTTGAGATGGCGAGCCACCCAAACTTGAAATTTTGATTCCTGAACCTGGAAGGATACATCTTTGCTGTGACACGTGGACGATTCGTTGCATCAACCTTTTGTTACATCAACTTTTCTTCAGCTGGGAGGACATTTCTCTTTTCCAGGACACTTGTTTGAACTGGTCGGATTTAACTGAAATTGCACTCACCCACTGGACATCTTAAAGGACATTTTGGACGATTTTCAAAGACAATTAAGAAAAAAAAGGTTCTAACAAGGGTATTTTTGATCGACTGTTATTGAATGTGAGTCAGATGTAAATTTTGGGATTTCCTTTGAACATTTTAGTTGTGATAAAACGTTCCGGTTTGCTTAAATTGTTACTTTGAATTGTGGTTATATGCCGTTGTGCCTTGTTCATGGAATTTTCTTTGGTTTGTCTGAAATAGTGTAATAAATTGTGAATCTAAAAGCAAAATAGGATAAAAATCCTAAACTCTAAATCCAAAAGACAGTGAAGTTTAATAGCTATCGAAACATAGCAAGATCAGATCAAAGGCTTTAAAAATTACTACGACTTAAGGAAACAGAAATAAATTAGATTAAAGTTCTATTTAACAGAAAAAAAGAAATAAAATCTTATTACCTTTTGTTACAAGAGGGAAAGAAAGACAACAGAGAATTAATTGGTTGTGCATCAATTTTATTATTATTTTTTGTTTCATTCTGGTCCATGTTGTTTATGTGACTGTTGAATTACAATATATATTTTCAAATTATTCTCTTTACATGATTGTGTGATTTTATTTACTGCCATCTGTTCTCCACTTACCTAGAAACTGGTCCATTGCTCCAAATTACGTTGAGGGCACTTGTTACATACAATTCTTGGCGAGCCAGCCAGGAGAACAGTGGTAGTAAATATCTTCTGGATGAGTTCCTGAAAAGGGAACAAAACAAGAAAATTAGATTCCGCAGACCTGAGATTACATTAATCCTAAGAAACATGCATATTGTTAAAAGTGAGAAGGTTAATGTTGTGACCTCAGTGATAGTTCGTGGGTTGACAGGCACTGAGCTTGACGAGGACCTAGTTGAATTTTTAAACAAACAAGGACGTGTTAGCAGCTGAGGGTAGATAACCCACAGTCACCTTTTCATAGAGATGTTATAGTAGAATATGAAAGCTGTTCTGCACTGGTAACTCTCGAATCTATGTTGCCATACACTTTCAGAAGCCCACATAACGTCTCTTATGTCATAACACTTTTGTCAAGTGCCTATGTACCAGCAGCAACCAAACAAGCAACCTTCTGTTACTTTGCTGAGCTGCAGAAATTAGCAACGATTAGTGGAAAGACTTTTGAGGAACTTCTGAGAGAACAGTTATCTCAAGCCACTACATCCAGTGATGAAATCGCAACAGATTAGAATGAGTCAAAGCTTTCCTTAGAGACTGGTATTCCCATGCATGATCCTCTTACCTCATTCAAGGGAATGAAAAATGTAGAAGGGTGTCAAAGCCCAGAGACTGTACGTTTAGTGCTCTTTGAAAAGAGAACTTCAACTTTAGATGTGGCTGATGTAAATCCACCTGAAATCCAGCATGTGATAGTTGAACACCTAATTAAGAATGAAGGAATCTCCTACATGCATGTGCCTTTCAGACTTGGAGTGTTCTCTGGGAAAATTCCATGTCCGAGCACTGAAGTTGATTATGATGCCTGGAGAGGGAGTGTTGAACTGATCCTTCACTTTCTGATTTGCACCGTTCCAGGAAAATATTAGACAGTTTGTTACCTCCAGCATTAGAAATTGTGAGACATTTGGGTGCAACAGCCCCACCTAATGCATACCTTGACATTCTGGATTCTGCCTTCGATGCAGTCGAGGATGGGGATGATCATTTTGCAAGGTTCTTAAACACTGCAAAAATGCAGGAAAAAAGCCCTCTTATGGCTCGTTTCCACTGAGCGGTACGGTACAGTACAGTTCAGTTCAGTACGATTCGGTACTGGTAACCCTGATCAGGCTTGCATTTCCACTGCCAATAGTACCCTTACTTGGTAGGCATGGTGTATGCCGGAAAGTAGCGATCGATGATAAAGCACGACAATAAGCACAACTCTGCCTCTTTTTGTTAAATGTCAGTTTTAATTAACAATAATAGCCATTATAAAAGTATAAGTATAAGAGGAAATAAAGACAAAAGCAAACAATTCAGTCAAGCGTATGCTACAAAGTCAGCACTGTACTACGGTAAAGTTCAAAATAAATATATAAAGTTAAACATAACTTTGTGCTCAGCCAAAACGATATGACCAGGAACAAATAATAGATTCATGAGACCACGAATGCCTGTTAAATATAGCCTACCCAAAACGAAATGTATCTCATGTTTAATCACTAGAGACATCAGAACCAGCAGCAAATGTCAGAAGAACTAGCCAGAGAAACGGCTATTGTCTGTGTGAAAATATAAAATTATAAAATACACGGTTATATTTTTTGTGTTTGCACACTCTGATGTAAATAAGCCCTACACTCATGGACAGCAGAGAACGGAACGAGTGAAGGAGAAGCTTTATCCCCTTATATCACGCAAAAGTGACGATTCTAGTCAACCAATCAACGTACTGCAATGAGTTTATCTCCACCCTTTTGGTACCCTTTGCTGTGCTAGGTACCCCAAGGGAAGGGTACAAAAAAAGTGATACGGTACGTTTCGTTATTTTGGTACCATTCACAACTTCTGACAGTGAAAACGGAAATAATTGCGTACCGTACTGTACTGTACCGAACCGTACCGCTCAGTGGAAACGAGCCATTAAAAGCAATAAAAAGAGGTGCCAATTCCAGTGCTGAGGCTGGTAAGCAGCTCTTGAAGCAGTTCTGCCGAGGCTGTTGGAATGATGCATTAATATCAACCTTCCAACTTAAGAGTAAACGAGATAGCCCACCTTCATTTTCCGAACTGCTTTTGCAGTTGCGCAGTGAAGAAAATTGAAATTCTGCCAAAGAGAGCCACATGCGCCAGCATCTGAATGTGCATCATCATATAGTCAGCTCCAATGCTGTATCTGCAAGCTCTTTTGATTTTGAGCAAGACATGAAATCAGAAGGGAGTGAGATTGCAGATCTAAGGAGGCAAGTCACAAAACTTCAGTCAACTCCGTAAACAGAAAGCGAAACAGATTGAGAAAACTCCGTTACTGCAGAATGGTGAGGTGCTCGATTTAAAGAAACCGATTGCAGAACTTCAGAGTCAGTTCACAAAGTTAGAATCCCAGAAGCCTCTAAAGAAAAAAAGAGACCTTCATGAGACCAAACACACTCACTCTTAAGCCCACTCAGCCAACCGCTTCAACCATGGTCCAAAAGTCACAAGAAAGACCTAAGCCAGGATACTGTTTCCGCTGTGGCAAAGATGGACATATTGCATCTGCTTGCGAGAGTGATCCAAATCCATCTTTAGTAAATGAGAAACGTAAGCAGCTGAGGGAACGACAGAGCCTGTGGGATCACCAGCAGAGCTCAGAGGTCTTGTGGTGGCTTCTGCTGATGCTGTGAGGAATCATTCTCAAAGTCTTGGGGTTTTGATGCCAGAAGATAAGACTTTATTATTCAGAGACAATAAAGCCGAGAGAATTCTGCAGAGCAATCTTTCGAGTCTGTGTCTGGACACTGTTTTACACAGTTTATCCTTTTAAGGCGTGTTCCATACATTTCTTACATCCTGTCATTGTTTACCCTTTTTTGGCTATGCCTCCAATCTGTTTCCTGCAAGCAGACAGGAGGCCCAAATTTATGTTACTTTAAAGGAAGAGGCCAGCCATCATATATTTTTTGTCTCATGTCAAAACAGGATGTGCAGCTTTACCATAAACCGTATGTCTGCACATTCCATTCTCAACTTCACCATATGTAAGCACATTACATTCTCATGTAGGGTATGTAGTCTGTATACACAGGCAAATACATATAATAGTAAAATACCTTGATACATAAATGGCTATATTCACTAGATTATGTAACAGCACTCTGGCGGAGCAGCAGGACCAAACCTCTCCCCCCACACTTGACTAGGTGGGAGTAAAAGATCCTGTCTCCCTAACCCCTCATTTAAGATAAAACAATGTTATAAACATGAGCATGAAATTGGTTCAGCGCTTGCCTGTGGTTGTCACAGTTATGTAGTATACAACAGAAATAAAAATTCAAAACATAAAACGTAACATCACAAAAAATAGCATAGTTGATCTTCAGCCCAGACACTTTGCACATCGTAGAGGGCCACGCTTGGGCAGAGGTTAGGCTAGCACTTAAATCCAGGGTATGGTTCATCTTTATACCTCTTCTTCGTCCTCAGTTGAGGTACTAGAGTCTCCATCATTCGTCAATGTTTGTGACTCACAGTTGGGTGTATAAGGCCAGTCCTGGTAATGTAAATTTTTTCTTACTCTTCAAAATCAATTTCTCATCATCTTGACATCTTAGAATTTCAATTTGCTTAGCTGTGGCTTTGACAAATAATGACCTCAGTATAGGAAGTACACAGCAAAACAGTAACCCTCTTATCAATACTGCAACTCCTAAAAACATTCCTAATTTAGCTAACCATGCTCCCCATGCCTCTAACTTTAGATCAAACCAATCCCACATTTCATTAACTTTCCTAGCATTTTCTTTAACTTCCATCCTTAAGTTTTTCTAATTTGATCATTACTTCCCTTAATGCTTCTTCTGGAGCAGCATTATTTTGTATATAAGTACAGCACTGATCCCCAAACATAACACATACTCCTTTCTCAGCTAATAAAAAATCCAAAGCTATTCTATTTTGCCATGTCATTCTGCTTGTTGCATCCAACTGCTCTCCTAGAAGTGATAAGGCCTCTTCAGTGTAATTACTACATCTTTGCTGATTGTAATATATATAATTGATCCATTCTGTATTTTTATTTTGTGTAATCCAAATGAATAATGATTCAAACCCTGCTTTAACTTAATCTCTTGCTTTAAACTCATTAGGTATGCCTCTAGGTTGACCAATTGAATCTATATAAACTGCAGGGTCTTTTTCATAGGCTCTTTTGAATCTGGTTTTCTCTTCATTTGTTGCTTCCTCTTTTAGAGAGATGTGACTCATTTTATGTGTCAGCATAACCCTAGTACATAATCCTGCCCAATTTTCTGGTAATGTTGGCAAGAGGCCTTATTCTAATCCACATATCCACTATATGTCTGCCAATGCAATATCAATTTCATCAAATATAGGTGGTGGGCCTTCTTTTATCCCTAAATAGTCATCTTTACATTGTGGTATTTTCCACATTTTGATGCATTTCCTACAAATCTTCCTACGTCAATATTTCCCCTCTTCCCATAACATTCAAATTCTTGATCTGCCATATTAGACTTTTAATTAAGATTAAGCTTACAGTAATGTCAGTTGTTTTTTTATCTCAAATATTTTGGTTGGTCTTGAAATAGATTATACTTGTTTAGGTTGATCATAGAATGGAAAAGTTTGAGAACCCTGTCTTAAACCATTCATCATAAAATATTCTACAACTTGAACTGTGTATGAGTATTGGTACAATACATAAGACTGGTCTTGCTTCAAAGCAAACTATACAGCTTTCCCATTTTTCTTTTTCTGCTGTGTAATTTACCCATTTATACCAATTATTTTATTCTACCTTTTCCCATAGAACATTTGAATTGCTCGTTTTCTTCGAAGTCATATTATGATTATAATCTACAATGTGTCTATTTTGTCTAGATATGTTTTGTTTCTCGTCCAATTCTTGTTCTTTTGAATCTGCCACTGCTGGATTCAACCGAGGGTTGACAAGTTGATTCTAGGGAAGTCTGGGT